CTTAATAACCTCTCTCAATGTGAACACTCTCAATTCTCTAATTAAAGACACACATTGGCAGACTGGATCAAAAAACATAATAAAAATGGCTGTCATGGTTTATGTCTGTGGCCCCCAGACCTCATGCATTTGCATTATGCATTTGTGATTGGTTCATTGTCTAGTGCTTGAATTGATGGTGTCAGTGCTACTCCCACATAGAGGTGGAGCCAGGATGTAATGTAATGGCAGGAAGAAGATGCGTCTTGCTCTTCTGAGGGTTTCTGCTTGCTGTTTTCAGCCGCCATGAACTGCGTCTCTGCCATGCCAGCCTGCCTTGGAGACAACTGAGTATGGACTGAAACCTCCAAAAACTGTAAGAAATAAACCTTTCCTTTCCCAACTTTGGGCTTCAGGTATTTTGTCTCAGGGACCAGTAAAAAGTAACTAAGATAATGGTCATACTCCCAAAACTGTTACACAGATTTGTTGCATTCATAGAACTCACCTAATCCCAAAAGATAGTCAATAGGCTAAAAATTAAAGGATGAGAAACAATATTTCATGTACTATGACCCTGAAAACAAGCAGAGGTAGCAATTCTAATATTGGACATGGTAAACTTTAAGCTAAAACTGATTAGAAGAAACAAAGAAGGTCATGACATGCTAGTTAAGGGAATCCAACAAGATGAGATAACATTGATAAATAAATATGCACCAAACATGGGAGCGCTTATGTTCATCAAACAAAAACTACTGAACTTAAAAGCTCAAATAAACATTTATATAGTCATATTAGGGGATTTTAACACCCCATTTTAGCAAAGAGATAGATGGACTAAACAAATGATCAATAAAGAAATATCAGAGCTGAACCATACCCTTGAACACATGGATTTAATAGATATTTACAGAGCATTCCAGCCTTCTATAACAGAGTATATATTCTTTTCTCCAGCACATGGTACTTTTTCCAAACTAGTCCACAAAGTCAGGTTATGTAAATATAAAATAACTGAAATCACCCCATGCATACTTTCAGACCACAATGAAAATAGAAATCAATGACAGAATAAATCAGAAAAGGTGAAAGCTACTGCAAAATTAACAACATGTTCCTACATATCCAATGAGTTATAGAAAAAATTAAAATATTTCTGGATGTTAATGACAATAACTACAATTCGCTAAAACCTAGGATACTTGAAAGCAGTTGTAAGAGGTAAACTCATCATAGTCAATGCTCACATTAGGAAAATGGAGCAAGTTCAAACAAAAAAAAACTATAAGAAATCTTAAGATACTTGGAGAGACAACAACAAATCAGACCCAAACCAACATTAAAGAGGGAAATTATAAAGGTAAAAGTGGAAATCAATGAAATTGAGACTTAAAAAGTACAACACTCAATGAATCTTCAAAAGAATAAATAAAATAGATAAGCCCTTAGCCATACTTACTGATAGAAAAGATTCATATCAATGCAATTAGAAATTAAAAAATTTAAATCACAACAGACATTGTCAAAATCCAGAAAATGGTAACTATTTTTGAAAAATTATATTCCAATAAATTAACAAATTTTGAAGAAATTGACAGATTCAAAGACATATACAAACTACCAAAGCTAACCAAGAAGACATAAATATGCTTAACAACCCAATGACAAGCAATAACTGACACAGGACTAAAAACAATCTACCAACTAAAAAAGCCCAGGAACTGATTAATTCACTGCTAAATTCTATAAAACTTTGAAGTATGTTATATTTCCAATGTCCCTAAACTCTTCAAACTCTTCAAAGAAATTGAAAGATACAGAGTACTCCCAAATTCATTTATGGAAGCCAGTATCAGTTCGATTCCAAAACTAGGTAAAGATCCAAGTGAAAAGGAAAACTATAGGCCAATCTCCCTAATATAGAATTTTAAAATCCTCAATAAGATATTAGCAAATAGAATGCTGCACATTATCAAAAAGATCACAAATCATGATCCTGTATGTTTCATCCCAGTGATGCAAAGATGGTTCAACATACGTAAGTCAATAAATATAATACATAACATAAATAGAAGCAAGGTAAAAAAATCACATGGTCATATCAATAAATACAGAAAAGACTTTCAACAAAATCCAACACTCCTTCATGATAAAAGCCCTGAAGAAAATAGATATACAAGGACCATACCTGAATTTATAAAATCTATTTATGACAAACCAACACCCAAAATCATATTAAATGGAGGAAAACTGAATGCATTTCCCTGAAAATCAGGAACAAGAAAAGAGTGCCCACTATCACCTCTTCTGTTTAACATAATACTTGAAACATTAGCTCGAGTCATCAGGCAAGACAAAGAAATAAAAGGGATACATATAGGAAAGGAAAGACTCAAATTATCATTATTTGCACATGACATGATACCTTACATAAAAGAACCAAGGAACTACAGCAAAAAAAACCTCTTAGAATGCATAACCAACCTTAGGAATGTAGCAGGATACAAGATCAACATACAGAAATCATTGGCATTTATTTATTGGCATTGTATCACTAATGAACTCGATCAGAAGAAAATTATGAAAACAATACCATTTATAATAGCTTCAAGAAACATAAAATACCTAATCAAGGAAGTGAAGGACCTCTGCAAAGCAACTATGGTAGTCTAAAAAAGGAGACTGAAGAGGACATCAGAAAATAGAAAGATGTCTTCTGCTCCTAGATAACATCAATGTTATCAAAATGGCCATACTCCCAAAACTGTTATACAGATTCAATTCAGTGCCAATCAAAATACCAACAGCATACTTTAAGGAACTAAAGGAAACAATCACAAAATTCATATGGACGCAGAAGAGAGTTGGAATAGCAAAAGCAATTTTGGGCAGCAATTTTGGGCGTTCTAATATTGTAAAGCAGTAAGTTTTACAATATTGGATATTAAGCTACATTACAAAACAATAGTGATAAAGACAGCATGGTGCTGAAACAAAAACATATAAAAAGATGTGTGGGTTAATGTAACAGAACAGAGAATACAGAAACATCCCCAGACACATTTGGCTATTTGATCTTTGACAAAGGGGCCAAAAGCATATGTTGGAGGAGAGATAAACTTTTCAACAAGTGGTGCCACTGTGTTATTTTTTTGTAGCACACTGAAATTGGACCCATGTCTCTCACTGTGTACTAAGTTAAAATCAGAATGATCAAAGCTCTAATCATTAAAACAGAAACATTAAAATTACTGGAAGATGAAAATAGGTAAAACACTTGAAGACATGGGTATAGGAAAGGATTTTCTAAACAGAACCTCAATCGCACAAGAAATTAAAAAATTATATCAGATTTAAAAGCTTCTGCACAGCAAAAGAATCAATTAATAGAGTGAAGAGACAACCTACAGAATGGGAAAATGTTTTGCCAGTTACTCAGACAGAGGGCTAATATCTAGAATGAATAAAGAACTCAAAAAAATTCGACCACCTAAATTAAAAGACCCAGTCAAGAAATGGGCAAGTGAAATGAACAGACACTTCACAGAGGAAGAAGTACAGATGGCTAACAACTATATGAAAAAAGATGTTTACTATCTCTGGACTGGAACCTCCAGAATTACGAGCTAAATAAATAAACCTTACTCACAAATGAGTGCTAAAGGGTATAAGTTTGCTTTTTAGAATGATAAGGATTATGTAGTGGTGATGGTTGTATAACTCAATGAAAATACTAAATATTACTGGATTATGCATTTCAAATGGGTAAACTTTATAGTATGCACTTATTTCCTCTTGTCTTTTTGATAATAGCCATCGTAATACGTATAAGGCAAAACTTCATTGCAGTTCATTCTCATTTTCGTTTCCCTGATCATTAGTTATACTAAACACCTCTTCATGTACCTGTTAGCCATTTTTAAATCTTCTTTGGAAAAATATTGAAGTCCTTTGCTCTTTCTAAATTATATTTTTGCTTTGTTATTGAGTCGTGTGAATTCCTTATATGTAGGAATGTTCATTGTAACATTGTTTTAAATGCAAGATCCTGAAATGAATCTGGATGTTCATCATTTGAGGAGGAATTAGTCATTTCACAGCAGTTACGATACACATATACTATAGAATATTATGCATTTATCAAAAAGAATGAATTTGGTCTTCATGCACTAACCTAAAATTAATGATACAATCTTTCAAGGAAAATGTCAGTTGCAAAAAAGAGGGTGTAAATGATTCTACTTTTGTGAAGAAATGCATACATGTTGTTTACAGTCTTTATCTTCACATTGGGGTATCGATTTGATGGGGAGGTTGCATATTTTGTTCAGTTCTATGATTAGAACTGTGCCTAGGACAGTATGACATGTAGTAGGTGCTCACAGTCATTGTATTCAATGAATTCATCATTGTCTATTTTTGTAGGATCAACAAGAGAGTGGAAGGGGCCGCTCTTGATTGTTAGTTTTAGTTACTTCTGGGGAAAGGATTATTGGAAAGCAAGAGAAGATAATTAGTATTTTCTTTATACTTCTTTCTTTTTACTTATTAATAAATAGAAGGTTTTATAATATTAAAAAATCTAAAAAACTATAATGTTACAGGGGAAAAAGGAAGATAAGCTATGAATGTCATCACTTGGAGAGAAACCCAACATTTTAGTCACTTACACTTCTGGGTAGAGGACAGAAGAGACAAAACCAGATGGAGCTGTTTGTGGGAGAGAGAAGGTTGTAGGTTAGGGGACTGAGTAGGTGTCAGGATCTTCTCTACATTCCATTTCATTATAAGTATTGACTTCTGCATCCATGTAAAAGGATGTATGAGTTGAAATTATTCTTTTTCGTACCAAATATGAGTGTATTAACCACTTGGTGTCTGGAACTATTTGCATTTTGTTTATATGAATGAGAAATTCTCAAGTGGATCTCTTTGATCAAGTGGCTGCTTTTAGTGATTTGGGACTGGCTCTACCCAGTCCCCCATACCAGTGCTTGGAATTCTCAAAATGCACACACCTTAGGTGAAGAGGCTGTACACATGTTGAATTAGTTACTTGGTACTGGAAAAATTCTGGGTCCATGCCATAATTCAGCCTTATGTAAGCTCCTCGATTGCTGCCATCTTCGTAATAATTAGAAGCAGAAAATATAGTAATAACCTGAGTAAAGAAAAAGACTATCAAGTTCACAAAGTTAGTTCTCAAAAGGTCATGCAGTAAGGTTGTAAATGGCTCAATTCTTAAAAAAGCACAAATCAAACAAAGTTCTTATTTCCTGAAAATTATACAAGTCTTATGATTTCTTAGGATTCAACTGGAGGAAAACAAAACAAAGGTTTGTACTCAGTGTCTCCAAAACTACTAATGCCTGGCCAATATTCCCAGTACATGGCCCTGAACTCCTATGTGCAATTTTTGTGCCAGACCTTCAGCTCCTCTGTAATATTTGCTTTTGAAAATTCTACTTTTCCAAGGGCTAAATCCTCTATTTTTTTTTTTTACCTTGTAATATTTGACTATTCAAAATAAAACTTGCCGAGCATCTCAGTCTTTTTATTTGAGCTGAGTGATTTAGAGGAGTCAGGGCTCCACAAAATTAGTGCTTTAAGGGACTGGAACAATGGTCCTTGACCACTGTCTTGGGAAGGACTGGGCTTTGGGCCATAGTTGAATATGGAAAGACAATACTTGTTGGCGACAAGAAACCTGGCTTAGGCTCAGTTCTGTCCTAATGAGCATGTCACTTCAGACAAGTCACTGCTATTTTCTATTATTTCATTACAAACAAATCCTAACTAATAGTTGCTTTATTCATTTTGCCATCTTAGTATAAACCTAAGACAAATAAAGTTAAGAAAAGTATAAGTTAAGAACCAATATAGCAACACCACAAAATTTGCTATTCATTGTTACTGTTGTTAACTACAGAAAAAGAGACCTTGAGGACAACGGAACAGGAACCAGTTCCACAACCTTCACCTCTTCTAGCTTTATCAACATCACTGAAGGAGCACAACACACTCCCTTTCAGAGGTGGTAGCTAAGCTGACCACAGCAAGTACCTTGCTGGGGATCACTTATTCAACCAAATGAAGGAAAGAGAAGTTTGTTTTGTTTGTTTGTTTGATTTGGCCCTGGGAGTGTGCAAAAACGTGGAAGACAGCAAACTGGATTCACTTCTGTTTTTACATACTTTGTGAGGGACAGCATATCCATAATCCCACTGTACAGGTGAGTTGTCTTACAACTAGTGCCACATATCAGAATTTCTGTTTGGGGGATTAGTGAAGAGCAAGGAAATAAACCAAACATGTCATAGGGTGTGGGACAGTGAGGCCCCTTCGAACTACCTTTGTGGATCCTTTAGTCTCTGGTTTCTGTTTGACTCTAGGGAAGATGTGTTTCCATAGGCTTCAGATCAAACATACTTTGTAAAGAGACCATGTTTGAGGGAAGGATGTCTGTGAGAATGTAACCAGCAGTGTAAGCTTACCTTCCCATCATGGCAGATTTCATAGCCATCAGGCTTACATTCATGAGATCTAATGAGCTTCTTCAAGTGATATTTATTAAGCACACTGGCAGTAATGTCTGGTCCAAAATAGCAGCCCCCTCCTCGACCTGTGTTTGGAAAACAGCCTTTGGTGCCTCTGGGGTCACTCCACAGAATATCAACAATCTGGGAACAACAAATCAGGTTAGATTACTACTTAAAACTGAGAATGTATGTCTTTAGAGTCCTGCTAATCTACCAGAAATATTAATCCAAGGTATTGCAAAGGCTGTTTCTTACTCTTCTCTCAAAATTGTTTCACTCTTGTTTTCCCTTGTATCCTTTCCAGAATATCTTAATGCTCACTTCCAGCCCAGTCCTTTTCTAACAGTCCCAATAACCTGGTTAGCAATAACTATAAGTAATGTAGCAATACTTAGTAATTTACGGAATCAGCCCCTGCTTTTAAAAATCCCATCATAGTTTTACAACTGTTTTTTGAAGAGAATAAAACCAAACAAAATAAAACAGAATAGAGTCAATGACAACAAAACAATAAAAGTGGTACAGAACTTCAAAGCAAGATAAAAGGAAATCAATAATAGCTACCATAATGTTTCTTGTTATTTTCAAAATAGCTGCCCATACCATCAGGCATAATAAAATCAAACAAAACAGAACAGACTATGTGAGACAAAATAAAACAATGGAAGCAACACAGACCTTCAAAATAAGATAACAGGAAAGCAACAGTGGCTACTATAATATATCTTGTTATCTTCAAAGTAGCTGCCTGTACCATGAGACATACGGACAGCTATTTCAAAGATAACAAAATATATTATGGTAGCCATGATTGATTTCCTGTTATCTTGTTTTGAAGCCCTGTATTGTTTTCATTGTTTTGTTTTGATTGATTTTATTCTATTTTGTTTTGTTTGATTGTATGAAGTTTCATAACTTTGGAGTATGAAGTTCTTTGTCATATTCAGAGGAGAAAGCAGCTCCTCATAAGAAGTAAATGTCCTTAGTATGCTCCAAGAGATTAGGTAGATGTCCCTGCTGTGTTGTGGACTCAGGTTTTTGTCCTATTGAGCACAAGGTCTGGGAATCTCTGACTCTTTCCCATCACTAACAGAGAAAACTGTTCACATGACAACATCTCTGCCTCTCCTTCATCTTTCGCCCCCTTGATAAGAGCATTCTCAGTTTCGGCAACACATTTACCCAGTGACTGGATTGTATCAGCTGTTCTCCTAAATCCATACTCTTAACAGCAGTATAAACATTTTCTTCTGAGGCCCGAAGAGGCAAATGCAGGTCACCTAAGAACCAGGTCTGAGGACCTTTCTAAGGATATGTTTCATAGAAAATTGGAGGCTCTTTTTAATGGCTCTCACCTATATATGTTCCTTTACATAAACTTCTGCTATATGACTTGAAGAGCAGCGATAAAAGTGATCTTTGCCACGAAAAATAGTGAGAACCTTGAGAAAACTCTCTAGGTCTTGCTCTTAAAAATCCTTCAAATCAGGCATTTGGGCCAATTGACTTATAAAGTTCCTCAAAGTCCTGATAACCTATGATTTTCAAGGTCATTATTTTATTTTTATTTTATTATTTGTGCTGAAGATGGAATCCAGGGCCTCATGCATGCTAGGCAATTGCTCTCCCCGGCCAGTCTGCTTCCACATGTTTCTTTTGAGGGCATGAAAAAGAATGCATTTGAAGTTGTGCAGTTATTCTTGCGGGTCCATATCAGGACTTGAAGATGAGAACCTAAAAGCTGGCTTACTAAACCCTACTATATACCCACTTACATGTCTGATATTGATGGGGAGCTAACAGTGAGCTGAAGAACTGCCAAGAACCACCCTGGAATGATCAGTACCTGGTCGGAACTAGAGAAACCCTGCACCAAAAGCAGACAAGACACTTGCAGAGCTCAGGACTTTTCTCTCTCACCTCTGAATTTCAACACCGGTACAACAATATCTTACAAATAAATTATAATGCAATCCCTTTACTTTTCTGGTGATTATCACAAAAATAACACTTGTACTTTGTGTTTGGGGAATTTGACTTGACTTATGATGTAATGAAGGAGGAAACATGGATCAAAAGGATCTGTGTCTTATTAGGAGGAGATTAAGTTGTCAATTCCTACATTGAATATAAATCATCTTAACCAAAATTACCCCATGGAAAATGTCTTAAATTGCCTTAGGATATACTACACATGACTTTGTATATACAACCCTATACAATAATATGGATATGTAAATGTTTTATGTATATGATAATGGACATTATATAATAAAGAATATACATGAAAATAAAATCTCACAGTATTTTTCGTTTTCTCTCTCTTTGCCATATATAATAGTTGAAATTTACATAAATTAAATGTACATGTGGTGGAACTCTATTGAACGATAATAAGCACTGGCCAAGGAGTTACCTCTTCAAGAAATGATCTGAATCAACCTGGGAAAATCACTTTGCCTATTAGGGCTTAGTTGTTACTGATGAAATGAGGGAGATACTGTACATCTAACTCTCATTTTTCATGGATCCAAAATCATTAGGGACAACAGTTTTTAGGAAGTGAGCTTCTTCAGAATCCATTCAATGAGTTCTGCACTTCTTTCTTCTGTGTGGAATTATTCACCTGTCTAGGTTTACCGAGATTGTGAGTGTAACACAGATTTAATTCTAGAACTCATAAAAAGTTGTATAAAAGGCTCTTTGTTGGCAAAACAAATTCTTTATAGAAGCCATTATTTTCTCTCAACAACACCCTATGCTCTAAAGTCTTTAGGTGTTAACTCCACAGAAGATTAAGTATTTGTGACATTCCTTCCTAGAATTTTTCAAACCAACAAATGGTAAAGTTTTACTGAGCTGCAGTTTTGTATGATCATATTCATCTCAATTTTTTACCCCCAGCACCATAATAAAAATTTTAAAAGCAAACTTCCCTTAAAATAAATAAATTAGAACACAATTAGATTCCACTTCACACAACCAGGAGAGCTTCAATCAAAAGAACAGGCAGAGCTGGGAGTAGAGCACAGCAGAGAGCACAGTGACGGGAGGTCCTAGGTTTGGTGGTCAATACCCAGCCCCCTCAAAAGGACCTACAATAACAACTTCTTGCAAGAAAGGAGAAAAGTTGGAACCCTTATATATTGTTGATGGGAATGTAAAATGATAATGGCCACTTGGAAAAAGTTTGGAATTTTCCCAAAATGCTTAGCTTTAGAATTACCTTACCATCCAGAAATTCCATTCTCAAGTATACATTCAAAATAAATGAAAAGATATATATACACCAAAACTTGTATATAATGGTATTATTCATAATATAAAAATATGAGAATAAAACAACCCAAAATCCATCAACTGATGAATGAATATACATAATATGGTTTATCCATACAATGGAATGCTATTCATCAAGAAAAAGAAATAACGCCCGACACATATTGTATGTGTCTATTTCAATAATATGTTCAGAATGGGCAAATCTACAAAGATAGAAAGTAGCTGCCTAAGTATGGTGGGGGTAAGGGTGGGGAGGAAGGGGAATGATTACTAATAGGTATGAGGCTTCTTTTTTGGATGGGAAAGACATTCAAAAATTAGATTCTGGTGATACCTGTAAACATACCAAAAATTATTCAATTGTAGACTTTAAATGGTATGTGAATTATACCTCAATAAAGGTGTGAAAAATACAGTAATGCATTCAGAGAAAATAACATGGTCTGCTTATAAACAGTACATCAGGTTTTTTTTGTCTTTCTGAGACGGGGTCTCTATGCAATTCAAGCTGGCCTTGAGCTCGTCTCGAAATTTTATACTTATATTTGTAGCCTAGGTTTGTCTCGAACTCTCAATGATTCTCCTGCCTCAACCTCCCAAGTGCTGGCATTACAGGCGTGAGCCACCAAGCCCAGCTCAGTACATCATTTTTAATCTATATATTGTAAAGGACAACATCGTCTGTGCTGCCATACTTGTCGCCACTCTGGTGAACAGTTTGATTACCTACCTGCTCCCATTCATGCTTTGGTAACTGTTCGGAAGATGAATCTTTTGATGTGATTAGCCCTGACATGATGCTTGCACCTCTTTTCTTCCGCTCCAACTCGGAGGAATTTCCTGGCCCTGGAGGTAGCAGCACAGATTTCATCTACAAGACAAATTCGTGATTTAGACAAACCCATTGCTTGTTGTACTGCATGCAGACATTTCAGTACCAGCTAGAGTTCTGTTTATGTTGTTGCGCATCAACCCAATGAGAAACACATGGTCTCCTCTGCCATCTCGCCTACCTCCTATGCCTCATAGATTCATCCATGTCTATAAAGTGGGCCTGTTAAATTCTGTTTGCACATTTTCTCAACTAGAGATACTACCCAATAGGGAGATAACTGCATTAGTGTTTCTAAGGGATCCCAGATACACACATGTAGGTGCTAGTCGTGTTCTAAGGTATTATCACAGGAAATGGAAAGAAAACTAGTTTCCACTGAGCCTTTATCTATCCCTGGGCACAAACATCACTTGAAAGGGTGGCTCATTTTCATTTTGTTGTGTTTGCTAGGAAAAAATTGAGAAAAAGTACATATGTGTCTTAAAATGGGGCATGGGTTGAAAACTTTGGAAGCCCTTCAACCTAAATACAGTATAGCTCTCAACCTGGTCTGTCAACAACTGATTATGTTCTCTAATCCTAGTAGCAAAGCTTCTGTGTTTCTTTGGAAAATAAAATGCTTTTCTGACAGCATGTCAACTACTGTAATCCCCCTGCATTGCCTCACACAGGCTGAGACTATAATTTTATACTTGTGTATTTATAGCACTACACTTTCACACAAAACGACATTAAAGTACAGCTCTATGCGGTGGCTGTAGTTCAACGATGGGCAATACTCTGTGGCAAGCACTTCGTTTCTCCCGTAAACTGCAGTGTCTATGAAATCCTACCTTCATTTTTCAAAAACTAAAATGAAATCTTAACCTGAAGTCTTGTCTCACTCAGCTGGCAGAAATTCAATCTCAGCTGTTACTACTTCATAGCCTACCCTCCCTGTCTTTCTTCAATAAATGTCCTCAGGCTTCATGTGGAATAAAATACACTTGGAGGACCCAGCTCCACACAATTCTTTTCTGATAAGCTCATTGGGCAAGGCTACCTGGTTCCTTAAACATGTATTGCTACACAGTTTTGAAGGCCACTTAGGATTGGGGTACTTCACCCCAGCTCCCCTAGGGTACCACATCACCACTTTCTTTTGGAGGAGTCCAACTGACTAATTCTTTCCACCACCTTCTGCTAGGGAGTTTGAAGAATACTCAACCAGAATTTTAGTCTTACAAAATCTTCCTTTTCTAATCTTCTGTACTGACTTCTAACCTGCCCACCTTACAAAATGCCTTTAATCAACCCAAAAGGGAGGTTACCATCACGTTTCCCCAATACCACCACTACCCTATTAACAAACATGCCGTGGTCACAGGTGTAAACCAGGAAGTATGGTCACTCTGTCAGCTGGGAGATCTTACAGCATGGCAAAATAGGGGCTGAGAAATTTTACCTCAGATTCTATTTTTGGATCTCAGCTGATAGAGTTCCAGAAAGTCAAACCTACTACTTTTGTTACAATTCAATTATGTTTATTTAATATAAGGATGTACTGTCAGCTCAACCTCAGTCTAGGTGAAGGCACAAACAACATACTAGTCACATTTCTATCTTTAAAAACATCCCTATGAACAAATGGGACAGTGATCTCTGATTGTGGGGTGAAATCTGAGGTATTCTGGGAAAAACCCAGCCCCAAAACATTTTCCATAATCTGTCTTGATGGCTAAAACTCAGCCCTTAGATCCAAGTATCAGAAAAGGAAGGGAGAGCTGGAAAAGAAATCCGTATGTTTGGTATTTGCTATATGCCGTTTTTTTCATCTGGGTTACTATATTCAGTCTTTCCAACAATCCAATATTCTAGGTATTTTTATTAGTGTGATACATAGTAATGGCATTCATTGTGGGGAACTGGTGCAGGTGCATGTTGCATCTTAATCATTCTTACTTCTTCTTCCTTCCCTCCCAACCTTCTGCTAATCCCAACCCCTACTTCCCTTCCTGTTCCCACAAAGTATGCCTACCTGATTCCTATCATCTCTTTTATTTTGCTCTTTAAATTATTTATATTTTGTATTTCTCATATAAAAGAATCCACAAGACATTTAATCTTCTGTGTCTTATTTAGTTTACTTTAAATTATGGTCTCAAGATGTATCCATTTTCCTGTAAATGACTCAAATTTATCCTTCTTTATAGCTGAGTAGTGCTCCATTCAATAGTGGTGGCAGGTATTTTTATCCTTAACTTGTAAATAAATAAATGGAGGCTGACAAAATTTTAATGGCTTGCCCAGTCACCCAGCCAGGAAGTGGCAGAGACAATATATAAACCAACCTACATCCATTTGACATCAGATCTTAACAGTCTTTACTATATCAAGATGGCTCTCAACTTAAGAGTCTCCAAAGAGCTTGTAGGGGACATTTCAGGGATATGTTCTCACTGTCTCAAAAAACCTTTGATAGAGCTCGCTACTCTAGCTAACCTCAGGAAAGTACAAGTTTGCAACATGAGAAATTGGTAGTGGCTGCCACAGCTAATTAGCACTACATCACAGGATGGGTGGTAGTGGAGTGTAGCATTTAAGCCATGTCCTTGCCAATATTTGACTGACAAAAACATCATGTTCTCTTGCTCTTGGCTAGCATACTATGAACTCACTCTGTTAACAAAGACTAGCTCACTTTGATCAAAATGTCTTACTGGCTTGACTATCACTGATACCATGAGAAAGGGTGCCTTAAACTTGGATGGCCTTAAATTTTTATTGTAACTGGAATTTCTTTTATAGTAGAAGGAGGCACTATTAACAATTACACCAGAACAAGAGGCATAAACCAGGAAGTATGGGCATCAGTTGGTGAGGTGGAAGAGGGAGGGATATCATCACAGATTCAAGAAAGGGGTTGTGAAAACTAAAAGGGTTAGATGACAGCATCAGTATTATTCACATGTATAAAGCCTAAAGGTGTGACAGGGATCACATTTTTTTTGTCTCTATCAGATTCAACTCCAACTCTAGGCCCCATCTGCCCAGATTGGTAGGGAAATTGACTAATAGTCCTAGAGGTAATGGTTCAGATTTCCTACTAGGGCCATATACCATCAATCTGGCTCCATAAGCTAAAATGACATCCCTCCATGCCTCTAATCTGGGGCCTTTGGCTTGGTTCTGATAGAGAAAGACAACTCTAGTTACTCTGTAAAGCCAACCCAAAAATTCCTTCATTAAGTGTGGACTCCACGGTACCACATAACCACTCTCAGTTCTATACAAGTTCCTGTTCTGCTTATTTTGTATTTAATATGCTTATTTAGGGTTGAAATATTTAAAAAATAATTATTCTGGTCCATTTGAAGTACAATGGAAAGTATAACAATTCCTAAATAAATGGCTATATGATTCTACTTATATGAAGTAGCCAGATAGAAACAGAAAGTAGGATGTTGGTTGCTGAGGCTGAAGGGAGGAAAATGGGGAATTATAATTCATTGGTACAATGTTCCATCTTGAAAGATAAAAAATTTTGTAAACAGATGATGAGCACAGTAGCAATGGCTGCAGAACAATATGAATGCACTTATCACCACTGAACTATACACTAAAAATGGTTACAGTGGTTAATTTAATGTTATACATATTTTACCAAATGAATCGAGATTTTAGTTTTCTAAAATCAAAATTTTTCACTTTAAAAAACTTACAATATGCCAACATTTTGCAATGTGCCACTTTGAGCATGAGGTTTTTTTTAAATTCCTATATATAGAAGTTACCCATTTAGCTGTTTTTCAAGCAAGTATAGATTTCCTTAAAACTTACACTAGCCATTTCAGAGTTAAAATAACCACTAAATACAAATCAAGATAATACATGAATAGAGGCACATATTGCATAATAGGTCCCTGATACAGATTCATGCAAATATTACTTCTTACTCTGTTTCTTTCTATGCGGTGGAGTAAATTCAAGTCTGTGGATTCAGATATCCCACCATGTATGACCAGGATTTCATTGTCAATGATGGCACCAATTGGGATCCAGGCGTACACATCTTCCAAGGTTTGCAAGATTTTTTTTCCATATATCTGTAAGTAAGAGCTTACGTAAGTTTTGCTTTTCTGCTATGTTCAGTTTATTGCATAGTCTTGATGAATTAAAAAAAAAGCAATAGTTTTCATTCCACCCAAAGGAAATAAGCCAGGAGCTACTACTCAACTAACATGCATTAATCATTTTTTAAAAATCTGTTTTGTTTTTGCAGTGCTGGTAACTGAATCCTATCACTGAGCTACCTCCTTTTTAATTTTAAGACAAAGTCTTGCTAAATTGCCCAGGCTGGGCTTGAATTCGCAACTGTCTTGCCTCAGCCTCCCCAGTAGCTAAGATTAGAGGTATGTGTCACAACACTTAGCTTTTTATTTTGTAGGTTTGATACTTTGACATCTTGGAGCCTTGCCAACCTGGTGGAGAGATTGCTCCTCTCAGTGCTAATTCCTAAAGATAGTAAATGACTTTCATAAGAATAGGTCACACCTCCAAGACTTCTTTTATTGGGCTGTCACACTCAGAGCCAGTATCGCTTGCTTCTAACTGATTCCCCTACGTGGTCTCCCGAGTGTGGCATACAGTGTCTCCTATTTCTAAGGAACTGTGAATGAAAATCTTCCTCATGACAGTCACTTTCATGTTGTCTGTTTCACCATTACTGAATTTGTTTTAAATCCTAGGCGAGTACCTTTAAAGCAATGGAATATGTTCCTATCTATGCTGAAATGGACCCAAAAGTTATAATAAAAAACCTTGCTTTATTAAAGAATGAAAATAAGACCCTCCCATTGCAAAGGCTTCCTGCTGTGCTCCTATTTTTATTGGCATAGATTCTCACTAGTTGAACCCATCATCTTTCCTTAAGCAACAATTCAGGCATTGTTGGGTCTTTTTGACTTCTGTGTGTCAATACCAGATAATGCAAAAAATTACTTAAATGTATGAATCTTACCTTATATTTATTCAGAATTTCTTTTGTGAAGCCATACCTGAAAATAAACCGGATTTATTCAATTAATTGTTAGTAATTCTTACTTATATGAGTCATGAAAAAAAGGGAGCCCTTGACATCTCATTATCACCAATACCAGGAACTCAAGCAACTAGACTTCAGTTGCAACTATTACTTACCGGAAGTCTTTGCTAGCCATGGTGTGAAAGAACAAAAGCAGCCAATGGCATCCTCCTTACTCCCAAGGAGCTTATAGCATAATTGAAGAAAGAAAACAGATTTTCATGAAATGAGTATAAGATGCAATTTAAGAAAGTTGTGGTAGGCATGGGTTGGGTAAAGGCAGCAAATGTTTTAAGAGGTGTACCATGTGCTGTGTGCTGGAGGAAGCAGTTTAAGAAAAGGCTTTTTTTCAGATAGAATTTCTCAGATATCCTATATTTTACAGTAAATGATCACAAAAAATAAAAGACTAAACAAAGACAAAGAAAAGCCTAGAAGGCAACCAGTTGGTTCTTTATGATTTCTCCAATATGTACAGTACTGAGAGTTTGAATGAAAAGTATTGGGGAATTTTAACACCTGGCTAGCTAAGGGAGAGTTAATAAGTTTTTTTCAATTACTTTTCCTTGTTTTAGGATGATAACATGTATTCTTAATAAGCAGTGCAGTAAAGTAGGAACACAGAACATCCCAAGTTTTTGTGCAGACCACCTCGTCAGGTTTCCACAATGGAACATTATGTTTTCTGAAGTCCTCCTGTGCTCACCGAAAGTTTAAGTGTTGTTAAACCAATTTGCGCCTTGCAGCTTCTTGGTCTGAAACACTAAATACAGTTGTACTATCCTCCTGGAAAACATTTGCTTTGGGATTTGATCACAGTAAACTCTTTCTGGCTATTCTGAAGCTCCTTTGCAAGTTCCCCTCTACCCAGCCTTCTTCAGATTCTGTCCTAGAATCTCTTTCCACTCTCCTCCCTTCAACTTCTCCCTTAGCAATCTCATCCCTGCCCATCCAAGGGCCGCAGTTACTTTCTAGTACCCATAACACAGAGCAATCCTCCAGGCTACACTGTTTCTGTTCTCTGAACACATATAGTCAACTGTCTACTCAACAGCACCACAGGTCAGCTTACTCCAAATTGAGCTCCTCATTCTCCTTCAGAATGATGTCATTTTACCCCTAACCTCAAGCCAGGAACTTGGAGGTCATACTTGAATTCTCCCCCTTTCCAGGCCCTCGCATCAAGTTACTGACCCTTCAATCATCATTGCCAAATGCCCTCTAGCATCTATTTCTTTGCATCTACATTGCCACTACACTAATCTAAGTGAGAATCTATTATTTAGCTCTTTAACTGCTTCATAATTGACCTCACTGTGTCTGTTCCTGTCTGCTCCAAATAATTCTTTCTGCTACAGTTTAAAAACAAAAATTGTATGATATTCTTTAGTAACACCACCTTGTCCTTAAAAATCCACATTTCTTTGCATTTCAACCATTTCTTATATCTCAGCCCTATCAGTACTATCTTACCCCTCTTTTTGTGCTTTTGCCTTTTCTAAATTCTTTGAAATCTAAAATGTCTTGTTCCAAGCTCTAAATAAATTATTCCCTCACTGTGCAACAGTCTATCCCATCCCTCCACCATACCTCTCTTGTGACTATTTAATTCACCATTGAGATCCCAGGCTAGTAACATACTTGCATGAGAAAACTTCCTATCACCCTTCAGACAAGGCTGGATGACCCCTTTACCAAACTTACTGCATTTGAAAAACCTGTTCAACATGGTCTTTTTTGCTATATGTAAATTCTTTCAAATGTGAAGGAGGACAAGAGACGGTGGGAGGGGAGAGCATGGAGGGTAAAAGGGATTTAAAGAAAGAAAGAATTGAAGAAAAAAATTGAAGTTGAACTTTTGCAAATGTAAAGGGGAGAAAAGGTAGGAGGGAGGGGAAGGGAACAGGATAAAAAAAATAATTCAGATATGTTACGTACATGTCAAATTCCCCATGATAGGGGCCAGGGATGGAGCTCAGCGGCACAGTGCCTGCCTGGCAAGTGTGAGGTCTTAAGATCGATCCCTGTACCAAAAAAAGAAAAACCCCCAAAAACTTCCCCATGATAAATTTAATCATTATGTACACCAGGCATGAACTAATTTGTAAATAGGAAGAAAAATAAACCCTGTGTGGGTAGGGACTGTGTCTCTTTCGTTAACTTTATCATTTTTATTTTTTTTTTTTTTTGAGATTTTCATTATGTACTCCAGGCTGGCCTCCAATGTGGTATTCTCCTGCCTCAGCCTCCCAAGCACTGAGATTATAAGCATGTATCACCACACCTGGCTTTCATTAACTATTAAAACACTAGATAGAGATGACTGGCTAGGTAGAAAAATGAAAGGATAAATGGCATGCTCAAATAGAAGTATAGAGCCATTTTATATAGAATGAGCTTCTGATAATGTTTCTGGGATTATTTTTAAATTCATAGTCTCAGCATTTGCTTACTTACACTGAGACTTAGAATGGAGACTGTTCTCAGGGCAAATGTCAAATCAAAAGATAAAACTAATCAGTTGGTGAGCTTGATCAAGACACCCAAAATCCCAGGACCAAAGGCATAAAATATGCCATGCCTTCTATTGCTCTAGAGCAAATTAATTTCTGTTTTTCATAAAATGAGACATGAAAATGAGGAGGAAAAGGAAGAAAGAAGAGGAGGAGAAGGAGGAGGAGAACATTTGTTACCTACCATGCCTTTCTGAAAAAATTAAGCTATTTAATCAATCTTTATTCCTCAGATCTCTAGTAAGTCAGATAGTTGAGATGCTATGCTACAGCTATTTTCAAAACTGTTTATGAACAACTATGCCAGAAGCAATTATCCTGTCATAAAAATATACACATCAGTGAACAATATGGTATTAATTTCTGAGACAACATTTGAAGCAAGCCAGAAGAGTAACAACACAACTATTCCCTCTAAGTCTGTGTATAGCACTTACCATTCTTCCAAATCTGGTCTAACGCCCCTACAAACAATTGGCCTGGGAGCTACAGAAGCAACACTATAAGAGGGAAAAGGAAGAGCAGGACTGGAGAAAAGATAAAAAGAGCAACAGATACTCAGTTAAAGACTAGGGCGGTAAGAGTAAGAATTGAGGTCTTCTTGAGATTCCCCCATATTTTTTTCTATACCCTCACTTCTCTCTGAAGGGACTAAAAAAAGGCAGTATTTTACAGGATGGGAAATAAAAGAAGAAATCTAAAGGCTGAGGTTACCTCATATTCATCATAAAATCTTCATGGTTCCCTCTGTTTAAGTGGATGTCCTTAGGGTAAACAAGAAAACTCACAAGCAGGATCATCAGGACCTCTACAGAGTTTTTTCCACGATCTACAAAATCACCATTGAAGAGATATGGGTTGTTCTCTGAAGGGAGACCATTCTGTAGAAGGAAATGAGAAGGAAATGAGGTTTTTACAGGCAGTTAAAAGAACATTCCTTCACAGTAAGGCTTCGTACACGCTGTCCCTGTGGATATGCAGAAAAGAGGCTGAGTCAGTTCTTTCACTGAAAAATAATCTGCTCACTTGGTTGAGCCAGGCTCCCCCTTCCAGGGCAGGTGAGAGTCACTTGGGAAAGCAAGATTTCAGGAAAGGTAGGGGTTGTGCTTCTGCCCATCCCCTTCTGTGAGTTTTCTCTAAAAAGAATTGACCTTTGTGCTATCAAAAGTGCCTATGCCCTTCTCTTCCTTTTCTCCTGAAGAGGGAAACTTCTATCCAAGAAGAATGCTAAACTGAGAGGCAGAAATCTTTCCTTCCAAGGTGCCCAACATTGCACTTCTCTGGGCTGCAATTCTCTCAGTTTGCAAAATGAAGATGATACTATATCCCCACAGATCTCCTGTGAGAATGGGCGTGAAATTACCCAGGCAAGTGGAAGACATATGTGACTGCGAGCAAGCTTGGTATTCCAGTGGGCACAGATGCAGCCACATCTGGTGTCTACAGCTGGCATGTATTCTGGCTGTTTGCTGGATGGGCCATATTAATTGTTAGGTATTTTGAATATCACTCCCGAGCATAAGCTATTTTTAAAGGCAATGTTAGTATGAAAAGAAGCTGAGTAGAGGACAAAGGACTAGATTTATAATAGGTGTCACTTAATCCTACATTAGTAAATTCTAGAGATAAAAGAAGCATATGTAACATGGCTACATTTTCTGTGTCATAATAAGGATATAGAATATCCTGGAATATATACCCTGATAAGGAAACAGCTGAGTGCATTTCAGTTGCATAGTGAGATCAACTCTAATGTCTTAAAAACATATTACAAAGAAAAAAGTAAATATATATCAACAAATATATATCTCCCTTCAAAAATGTATTTTAGAGAAATATTATGAACATTACTAGTTACATTAATATTTTTCAAACTATTTTAAAATTCTTTGTCAAACTTCAAAATGCATAAGATTTTACTACTTATGCTCCTGTTTACATGCATTTTAAATTATTCATCACAATATAGTAAGGAGCTGGAAATATAATGTAAGTTATAACACAGAATTTAGGGATTCCAGAAATTGCTTAGGTAGTGTAATGTTTTGAAGATCACTGAAAATAAACAAGCAGGGGCAGAGTGTAATAAGACTAATATTCTAGTTCAGTGCCAGTTATTATGCAGATGTTGTTGGACAAATTCTTTCATCTCTTTATCTGTAAAATGGGGATGATAACTTTTATACTTACTATGCAGATATATCTTGCAACTCCAATGAGATTATGCTTACGAAATCACATAAAAACCTAAGGTACCATATAAATTATGACCTTCAATTCCTTATGACTTCCATTCTATTTCTAATTTTAAGATTTCATCATTTTACATTTTGTTGATATATTAATTTGCAGGCCTCACTCATCTATTCCTTAGATAGTATAACCAATCACAGAAATATAGGCTACTGATCGCTCATCAAAACCTAAAATAGAAAGATTTTGCATCTCTGATACTCTTCCTTCCCACATCCTTTCACTGGCTGGGATAAGCAGCTGGAGGAGCAGGAATAGTGAGAGGCTGCTGGCCCTGCCTGGAGGTTCAGGCTCTGAAGGGGTAAGACGAGCAGCACCTGAAAGCCCTGGGGTGAAAACCTGAGAGGACCCATGGATGCCTTGACTAAGCGTTGATTACACCTCAGAGCATGTGAATAATCTGGAAAGAGCGGTGTAAGACTCGATTTTACTAGAAAAGGCACAGGGAAACTTTTTCCACACACCAAAAGCCAGAACACAAACACTTGCCTTTAGGGCACCTAGGAACACAGACGTTTCCTTTCACATTTGTGACTCAGGAGTACAAAGTGTTGCTCCTCCAACTGTGGAGAGGCTTAAAGTAGTTTAAGCAGAAAACAGAAAGTTGATATAAACTAGTACTTAAGAGAATCTAGCAACTAGAGAGAGGAAGACCAACCAGATGTGCTAAAAGCAGGCTTGCCAGGGGAGAAAGAAGACAATTTTATTTAAATAATAATAATAAGACAAGCATCAAATAAAGAATGAAAGGTTAAAAATTCTTGGCATTAAAATACACTATTAAATCTGGGAATAGTGGCATACACCATAATCCCAGCTACTCAGGAGACTGAGGCAGGAGGACTGCAAGTCCAAGGCCTGCACATGTAACTTAGTGAGACACTGTCTCAAAATTTAAAACTAAAGTGAGAGGGAGACCAGGAATGTGCTGAGTAGTAGAGCACATATCTAGCACAAATTTAATACCGAGAGCACAGGTTTAAACTCTAGTACCTCCCCAACAAGAATGTCATTCAAATTTAAAGTATCAGTGGATTAGTGCTAACCAAGAGAATGGTTGTGAAATACATTATGGACCTGAAAGAATGATCAAATGAATTTTTTTTTCACACAGAACATAAAGCAAAATGATGAAATCATAATGAATGAGGCTAGACTTCAAACACCAACAATACCAAAACATTTTTAAGCCAGGGAAAGACCAAGAGGAAACAGTACAGATGTAAAGAATGCAACTTGCAATATATAAATAAATATAAATTGATACAATACCATGGAACTTGCATTTAAGTATCAAGCAAGGATTCTAGAAATAGAAGAGGAAATTGCTTAAAACTATAAATATACTAATTTCTTCCAATTGAATAGATAGGAATTAATAATGGTCAAGACCTAAAAATATAGCATGAACAGTAGCTTATATTTGGAGGAGAGGAGAGGAAAGAAAAGTAAAATGCTCTACAAATTTTACCTGAATGAGGGACATGGAAAATGTAAAAATGGTTATCTTACTTGGGAGGGTGAGAGGATTGTGGCAGAAGACTAAAGTTATAGCTATTTAAGTAATACATGAACACATTACTGATTAGAAATGTCAGGAATGGGGAGATAATTACTAGTGAAAAGAAAAGCACAATAAAAATTGCAAATATAGTAACAATTTTTAAAAAGAACACTTCATGTTGGGTATGCTGGCATATACCAGTAATCTTAGCTACTTAGAGGGCTGAAGCAGGAAGACTAGCAGTTTAAGGCCAGCCTAGACCTGGCCCTAAAAAGAAGAAAGAGAAAAAAAAGAAGAAACAGAGAGAGAGAGAGAGAGAGAGAGAGAGAGAGAGAGAGAGAGAGAGACAGAGACAGAGAGAGAGACAGAGACAGAGAGAGAGAGAGAAAGAGAGAGAGAGAGAAAGGAAAGAAAGAAAACTTCACCAAAACAGCAAAAAGAAAAGGGAAAAAGATAAACCAAAGTAAACAGTAAGGTAGAACACAAGAACATTTTTAAATATACCTGTTGTTATATTACATGTAAGTGGATTAAATTCTCTCATTAGATCACCAAGATCACCAGAATGTATTAAAACACAAAAATTAGTTACACATAAGAAAAAGTTATTAAGTTTTAAAGTAATTGACTTGAAAACAAGATAAATGCAACAAAGAGAAGGCAAGAATGGAAATATTAATACCAAACAAAGTAGAATTCAAGATTAAAGCATTAAATAGGACCACAAAGCAATACTAAGTCATAATGAAATGCGCTTTATGAAGAAGTTACAATTCATGTTCTTGTCAATATACAAAAGAGTAAGTTTGTGCTTCAGATATTTACTAAAGATGCAAGCAGAAATATGTAAAATACAAACATAGTGAGTTATTCATATTGAAATATTGGTTTAAAATAATATCCATAAATTCTTTCACATTAACTTTAAACAGTGAAGCCCAATTTGCCTCCTCCTGAGTGTAGGCTGGATTTAGTGACTTGCTTCTAATGAACAGCAGAGAAGGACAACATAAGTGATGATATGCAAGTTCAGAAAATAAGTCATAAAAGACACCAATTTCCTGATTTCTCTCTCTCTTGGATCATTCGCTTGGTCAAATGCTATGTCATCAGACTACACAGCATTGTGGAAAGGTACATGAGCTCAGTGAGGAGGTGATATATTATTCTTCACCCGCCACCATGTCAATTAGCCACCTTAGAAATGGGTCTTCCGGCTTCAGTCAGTCTTTCAGATGAGCACAGCCTAACTGTTTGATTACTACTCCATGACCTTGAGCTAAAGCTACACAGCTAAGCTGCACCCAAATTTCTGACCCATAGAAACGAAGATACTAGCTGCTGCTGTTTTTAGGTACAATAGCACACAGTCTTACTACACAGTTCGTTACACAACATATAATGCACATATTTAGAGAGACATTTAGAGAGACACAGAACAAAAATAAGGAAAATTGAATATGCAATTACTTAATAGATACACGAAGAACTTTTTTTTTTTTTGGGTCGTTTTCATTTTAACCGGTACCAGGGATCGAACTCACGACTGCCTGCTTGCAAGGCAGGCACTTATGCCACTGAGCTAAATCCCCAGCCCCTACACGAAGAACTTTACAAATAGAGAATATAATTAATCTTTCATTTGTCCATGGAGCAAAAATATCAACCTTATGCTTGACTTTAAAGAAATCTTTAACAAATAATAAAATATGATTAGAAAAATTCTGAGTGCTTGATTTAAGATTCTCAGAAATTAACAACTGTAGTCCAAGTCCTGATAAACATTGGCTCAAAGAGAAAATTAAGAACAAAATTTCAAGTTCCATAGAAGTTAAAATTAAAATCAGAAAACATGCTTTCATTAGTAGGGAAGATACACATGAAAGATTGATTCAACCTAAGAAACTTGAAAAAGAACAATAAAGCCAATCAAAGATAAAATGCTGAAATTTAAAAAGAGAAAAAATGAAGAAGATACATAATTCCAAAAGTTCATTCTTTGATCATCTCAATAGAGACAGAAAAGGGTTTTGGCAAAATCCGACATCCATTCATGATAAAAACACTGAAGAAATTAAATATAAAAGGACTGTATTTGAATCTGATAAAAGCCATTTATGACAA